TGGTCTCATCTAAGCTGATTAGCCTTTTTCTCCTACAAGAGTGACGCTTCCTTTTGTCTTAAGAATACATGCTGTAAATATATATATGTACATACCCACACATTTTATGGAATGACTGGAGCCTTAAAGCACTAGGATGAGCCACCAGGAGTAGTATGTCTGCTCATAGTGAATACCACAGCTGTTTGGAGGAAGGCGGGAAGTGTGGAGGTGCACATATCATTTGGCTTGAACTTTTGTGTTTTGAGTGACTTCACTCAAGTTCAACCTTTCATGTTTCTTATGAGTAAAGTTCACTGGAAAGCCAGTTATACTAATAATAGTTTGTTCTCCCTGGAAGAGACATTTCTGTAGCCTGATTTGAGTTTTATTTTTACTTTGATTTTATGACTCTTATGCTGTTTACATGCAGTTTCCAAAAAAAATGGATTGTTGGTGCTTTGGAATGTTATAGTCCTGCACTTGCTATTTATTATGGACTTGACGTTTTCTCTCAGAGATGCCGCTACGCAGTGTGTTCATCATACTCTTCCCATATTGTGGTGGTGAAGCTAGAAGCTTATATTTTCTTTTGTATCATTTTCCCATGGAGCAGGCATGATCCCAATGGATTAAAACCTCAGTTATAAAAGGTTCAAAGACCAGTATTGTTGCACAAGGAGAGCAGTGCGCGGGGGGCTTTGTTTGTCCCGGCTGCCCGACTAGCTTACACCTGAAGTAATCACACAGAAACTGTATTCATTTAAACACTGCCTGGCCCACTAGCTCTAACTTCTTATTGGCTAACTCTTACATAGTAGTTTAACCCATCTCCATTAATGTGTATCGCCACGTGACTGTGGCTTACCAGCAAGATTCTAACCAGCGTCCGTCTCAGGCAGGAGAACCATGGCGTCTGCCACTCTGCCCTTCTTTCTAGCATTCAGTTCTGTCTGTTCCACCTACCTAAGTTCTGCCCTATCAAAAGGCCAAGGCAGTTCCTTTATATCACCAATGAAAGCAACACATAAACAGAAGGACCTCCTATACAATTTCCCCTTTTCTGTTTAATCAAAAAAAAGGCTTTCACTTTAACATAGTAAAATTACATATAACAGGTATCGAGCAAGAATTACAGTTATAATATTTTATCTTTTATCATAACAAGGGAAAACGATGGCTATCTTATATATTCAACTCCATCAAAGACTCCAGGAGGATAGAATAATACCTAAGTAAACAAGAAGTAAGCAACTTCCAAAACTCTAGAAATGACAGAGACATCTCGTGGCCTATACAGTCACCCAAAGTTCTTTTGTACCGTTGGCACATCCATCTTCAGCATACAGGCCCATAGTATCCAGCAGACATTTTGATCATTTTGATTTTTTTTTTTTTTTTTTTTTTTTGTATTTCGAGACAGGGTTTTCTCTGCTTTGGAGCCTGTCCTGGAACTAGCTCTTGTAGACCAGGCTGGCCTCAAACTCACAAAAATCTGCTTCTGCCTCCCAAGTGCTGGGATTAAAGGTGTGTGCCACCACCACCTGACCTGAAGCAGAAAATTTTAAAGACAGTTTAGTCACTTTCTTTTGTGTCCTGTAGAAAGTCTCACGGACTCTTTTATGAGACAGGAGCCCCGAAGGACCATCTCACCTTTAGGCAAGTTTAGCAGTCCTCTCTACAGATTTTTTTTATGTCCAGTTTATGCAACAGTCCAGGCAAGAACAGTTTCTTGCCCAAATAGCTAACCAACTCCATAAGGAGCCTCTTCAATGCCCATCTTCCTCTTGAAGTAGCTTGGTGCTGCCAGGAGCAGACGTGTCTCATTGTCATGAAAAGTCCTAAGTTATTAAAACATCTTAAATGCCATATTCTGTAATCTTTAAAAGATATGAAGAATGCCTATTTATTTGAAATATATATATATGTATATATATAATCTAGCTAACATGACTACAAGCTTGACTTATTGATGATTGTCCATTAACAGCCTATATTTCCTAATTATACATTACATTTTTAAATGAACTACAAAATCACATTACCTTAAGATCAGAAATACATATATATAACAAGATTGACCTTAAATTTATATCAATAAAGCAAAATCCATACCAATGGTAATTATTTATATCGATATTATATCCTTTAAATGTAAAAGATTTATAAACAATATTTAGGAATATGGACATAGTCATTTCTCCCCAAACTTATTCCTGCTGTATGGGGGCGCTGTTAATCGGGTCCTTTATGGTATATCCTGTGTGCTAGGTTCATCTCAGGAGTTGAGTGAAATAATTTTCTGAGGGTGTTTACGGCACCCTTTAAGGAGGGCATGGTCTACCATACCATAGTGGTCTAGAAGCAATCCACAGTGTCTCATCCTCTGGAAACAAAAAGAACCTCTTTTCGAAAGCATTATATCCTTATACCCAAATTTTGAAGTCATAATACCTTTATAATATACATGCTGGTTTAGCTTAGCAGCCCACCCAATGAAATGTCTCTCTGAACTTAGCTCCTTACAGTCAAAAAATTTAAGGAAAACACAATAATATACAGAATCCAGACTCTGTGAATTTAAAGTATTAACTTCATGACTATACTCTTTATTTTTTTCTCTCAAGTCTATGTACATTTATTTAACACTGTGACCCATTTAGAGGTCTTTTATGCCTGAATATGTCATGTGTATCTGTAATATTTTACTGTCTAGGAACACTTTTGCTTTGCGCTTTTAAAATGCTAAGCACTTTAAGAATCTAAGTTGCGACGATCCTAGGTCAAATACAGGTACTGCCTGCTTGCCCCACCCACTCCAGCATGGTGGAGCTGCTTGTGCTTCTGAGTCATTGTGCCTCTGAGCCGTGTGCAGTGCCCCCCTTCTAAGCACACAGTGAGTCCAGTTGCCATCAAACAAACCACCATAAGCATTTTACTCACAAACTCCATCCAAATACTCCATCTCCCAAAAGAGTCAGAATTCATAATGGTGGCACAGCCCAGAAAGCCAGTATTTTAAAACCGCCACTTTTTTCCTGTTCTGGTTACTGAGTGAGGAAATTTTTTTCTGCAGCACCCTGCCAGCAAACAGCAAAAAGTTGTGTTAAACTCTATTTGTGTCTTTTAAAGCCCTCTCAGGTTTTAGGTTGAGTCAGTTTACCATGTTGAAGCACCAAACTGTTGCATGAGAAGAGGGTGGGGGCTTTGTTTGTCCCGGCTGCCCGACTAGCTTACACCTGAAGTAATCACACAGAAACTGTATTCATTTAAACACTGCCTGGCCCACTAGCTCTAACTTCTTATTGGCTAACTCTTACATATTAGTTTAACCCATCTCCATTAATGTGTATCGCCACGTGACTGTGGCTTACTGGCAAGATTCTAACCAGCGTCCGTCTCAGGCAGGAGAACCATGGCGTCTGCCACTCTGCCCTTCTTTCTAGCATTCAATTCTGTCTACTCTGCCTACCTAAGTTTTTTATTTAACCAATAAATGCAACACATAAACAGAAGGACCTCCTACACCACAGTATTGCTTCAACTATAACTCCTTGACAGGGATGCTTAGAGCAGGGAAGAATGCTATTTTCTTTGTCTCCCAGGCAGAAAAAGGCAAGAGGCATGCTGCTTTTTACACTGCAAACTGAACCACTAAAGCTAAACACTGTTGCAAAGGCAGAGCTAAGTAGTAGGGTGAGAATTGGGAGAATAGCTGTAGGTAATTTCAGGAGCTATCAAAGGTGCACAGTACATCTCTTACTTTTTAGGTGCTCTGAGTTGGGACCAAGTGGGGATGCGGAGGCAAGTGCTGCATGAATCACTCGGCCAACATTACCTGCCTGGCTAAGCAGCTGTTGAAACCATGAAAAGAATGAGCTTGAGGGAATTGTCAGCTCGACTGTTGTTAGGATTGCACAGGCTTTAGCAAAGTGAAGCCTGTATTCATTTCCTTCCCTGTTTTTTCTTGTTTTTACTATTAATGGGAGGGTTACTCTGCATTCTGAGATATGTATGAGACCATGTCCGATTTTCAGGGGATGTTAAAACCCCTGAAAAGAAGATACATCTTTTCTAGAAGATTGCATTCAGAGAGCTCCAGCCAGACTCTTGCAATCTGGGTGCATTCTTACATGATCACCTCTTCTAAAGGTCTGAATCATTGAGGTGTAATGGCCTCAGTGCTTTGTTTGACTACTGATAAACGCTTTGACTCTTACCATCTACTGCACACCTTGTAGTGAATGTTCCAAAGGGCACAGGTAGGGTATGCGGTAGTTTACACCAGAAAAATATTTGTTTTTGCAACTAACTTTAAATTGTGTTGTTTCACTTCTACCAGGAGCCTCGTTTTGTTGTTTTGCTTGAAAGTAACTGATTATCTCAAGTGGAGTGGTGAATGTGTGCTTTAGCATTGTCCGCTCCCGTCTTGCATTGGAGAACTTTGAACTGTTGAATGATTATGTTCCATGTGAGCTCTGCGGTACACCATGGAGGAAAACAGAAATAATACCCTTAGCAGCCAAATTGGAGTTGTTTTTATGGCTTATGTGCATGTTGGCCTAGAAGTGCATGTGGTACAGAACCTGGTTGGTTTGACCTTCATGTCTTGGGCAGGACTTGTTAGTTGAAAATAAGTTACTACGTACAACTTAGGACTTGAATTTCACATTCTGTCCATACTGTGGCCTTGTTAGCCTTTCCCTTCTCCCTTCATTCTTTTTATTTTCCCATTTTACTCCAAATGGCAATTTCACCTAGACTGTATTGATTTAACCATGATCCCAGAGTTATATTGAGAGCAGTTAGCATTTTGGGCTAGAAGGGACAAGTTACTAGAGCAGAGGTGTCTGTTCCCTTCAGTCTACGTAGTAACCTTCCATATAAAATGCCAAGTGTGTGGTTACATTCAATGACTGACCTGGAATTCCATGGCAATTAATACTCTATGCAATCTTTGGATCTTAGCCAAAACTCTCTGGATGAGAAAATAAACTAAAGTTTTGGGGTTTTTTTTTGGGGGGGGGGGTAGCCCTGTATTATACAGAGTTAAAAAGCTCGGTGTGGATATTGTTTATTTTAGTAGCAAAGACTATCATTTAGACCTATGGGGAGGCTGGACTCTTGTTTTGTAGGTATAGATGTGTATACACATGCTCATAAGTTATGGCCCAGCAGGAAGAATAAGTAAATCCATGAATTGTTGGTTTATATTCTGATTCCAAGTTGATTGCCTACTTTCTATGATCGGGCTTAACCTAAACAGCTCAGTAGCAGACACAGCAGGTGTAGATGTATTTACATTTTAAGATGTAGTACTTACAGGTTGGTTAACTCTGGGTGCTAATATTAAATTATACAGTTTTCTCTCTCCTTGATGAAGTAAAAGACTCTTAGCAAAAGCTCTAATAGTGAAAACCTCAACAAAGTAACTGATTGTCATCATGGGAGTTTTGTAACAGGATTATTCTCTGTCACCGAAGTAGACTCAGTTTGTGTTTTGCTTTGGTTACTAGATTTAAGGACGTCTCATTCATACATGACTGATACTTTGTTTCCTTTCTGTGTGCTATGTATCTAAGGTTTAGAGGTTTTAATTGTAGGTGTGCCTGTATGAATGAACACTTTAGTGACAATGTACTTAAAAGTTACAGACAGTCCCTTAGGTCTAAGAGAAAGGTGGATGAGAGTCTGGGTCAGGATTCAGGTGTGTCAAGACAGATACAAGAACAAAGAAGGGCAGTTGTCTGAACAGACCTGTTGAATAAGTGGGCAAGGGGGAGACTGCCATGGTGTATGCATCTGTCCCCTAGCTTCCTCTCCTTTTCCCATTTGCTCCTCACTCTTCCCTAGCCTCTTGGTGGCAGTTCTTCCTTCCTGGGAGAGGAAAACAGAAGCAAGGTTCCTGGACTTTGGTGATTGAGGCACTCCCAGGTTTGTTGGCAGCTTTGGTCACATTATTTGTGAGGTGGCTTTTTTGTGTTCAGAGTGACTTCTGGTTCTGATTATTGATGTTTGTATGGAACGGCACTTTATCTGTGTTTTAGCAGAACAGTTCCTCTGTATCCTTTATGATTTTCCCATGTTTTTTGCTTCCTTTTTAAATTATATAGTTTGGTTTTTTTGTTTTGTTTTTTTGGTGAGTGTGAGAGACATTAAAGCCTTTATTAACCTTATGTTATTTTGACTTATTTCTTTAAAGGGACACATTGTTGGGGCATTGAATAACCAGTTGTTTTAATTGGAAATCACCTTCTGTTGGCTTCTGATTGGACTTCTTGTAGTAAACCCATGTTCCTGATGTCATCTGAGGAGTCTGAAGCTTTGCAGAAACTTCTGGGTAACAACATTCAAGCCCAGAGTTGTCCTTCAGCTAAGCTTTGCCTTGGTCCTATTAAAATGTGAAGGAGGAAATGACACCTGCCTCTCGTACTTCCCTGTAGGTGTCCAGCCTAGCACTGAGGAGGATCTGGCTGCTCCTCTAAGGAAAGCAAACGCTAGAACAAGACTCCATGGGGATGTTGCATCTTTCTCAAGGAGTGAATAGATCACTATTATAAACAAAAGGGACTATCACATTGTGGCTCACGGATACAATTGGACATTTTCAGCTGGCATAGGATTTAAAACCAATAATGGCAGAACACAGCCTTCACAGGCAGGGTCGGGACTGCTGAACAGCCAGAGCCGTGACTCTCAAAATAGTCCTTTTTCTTTCTTGAGGTTTTGTTGCTTCCATCGAGGTAGAGCAGAGAAGGCAGCTGGAGTCATCCCCAAGGCCTTAGTGAAATCTTCAAGGGACAGGTGCTCCTAGGAGAGGACCAGAGGGCAAAGGTCACAGTCTTCCCCTTTGCTCGGATGACTCATACAGATGTGACATATGATCAAACAAAGGAGGAACAAAAGCTAACACTCAGGAGCCAGGAGGGGGAAGGAGGAAGTGCCGCATGAATAAAAGGCCGCATAGTCAGCCAGGCTTCTGCCGTGCTAGTCTTGAAGTCAGATCTCAGATCGCGACTCCTACTCTATGGTAGGAGTCGAGATAGTCCATGATCAGGTTGGGCCTGAACCCCCTGCTACCAGGCAGTTCTTATGCTGCTGGGTTCAAACCCAGGGCTGTATTCTTAGCCCCAAATGGAAGATATTTCTTTCTTTGAAATAGGGTCTCACTCTGTAGACTTGGCTGGTCTAGAACTTACTATGAAGACCAGGCTGGCCTTGAACTCTTAGAGGTAAAACTGCTTCTGCCTCCTGAGCAGTGTGATTAAAAGTGTGTACCACCACACCTGGCTAGGAGTGTGTGTGCGTGTTGTAGAGTTTTTTGTTGGTTTTTTTTTTTTTTGGTTTTTTTGAGGCAGGGTTTCTCTGTGTAACATGTATAACAGCCTTAGCTGCCCTGGAACTCGCTTCATAGACCAGGCTGGCCTCAAAGTCCAAGGCCTGCCTGTCTCTGCCTCCCAAGTACTCAGGTGCTGGGATTAAAGGCATGAGCCATTTATGGGAGAGGGGTGTCACACAAGAAAGTATTCATGAGGCTAATTTAGAATGATCTTCTAAAGAGGATAGGCGTTTGGTTCCCAGTACCCACATGGGACAGTCATTCACAACTGTCTATAATGAGCTCTGGAGAGCGGTTCTCATCTTGCGGGTCATATATCAGATATCCTAAGTATCAAATTTATACATTATAATTCATAGCAGCAAAGTTAGTTAGGAAATAGCAATGATAATTTTATGGTTGGGGGTCACCGCAACATGAAGAACAGTATTAAAGGGTCACATTAGGAAGATTGAGAACCATTACTTTAGAGGCTCCTACATCACCTTCTGACCTCTGGACACGCACATACACGTCATAAACTCATTTACACATACATATACACATATTTCAAAATTTCATAAATTCAAAAATATGTGGGGGCTGGCAAGGTGGCTCAGTGGGTAAAGATGCCTGCTTGCTATGCCTCAGGACCTTAATTTGATTCTGGAACCCACCTGGTGAAGTAGGAAATGACACCCTGAAGCTGTCCTTTGAGCACCATACATATGTGCTGTGGCACCCACACACATGTTTTAAAAAATTACATGGTTCATCAAATAGTAGTTCCAAATCTAGACTCAAGCAAGCAGTGTCTGCCGTGCATGAGTAGATCAAGCTTCCAATACTGTCATGGGGCTCAAGGCCCTTCTAGCAACAGGTTTATCCCCCCCCCCCACCTCTCACTTTGTTTTTTGTTGTTGTTTGCTTGTTTGTTTGTTTGTTTTTGTTTTGTTTTCTGAGACATGCTATCTCTGTATAATAATAGCCCTGACTGTCCTGGAACTTGCTTTGTACACCAAGCTGACCTCGATCTAACAGAGATACACCTGCCTTCTGAGTGCTAGAATTAAAGGCATGCACCATCACCTCCCGGCTTCTTAACCATGCTTTGGAAGCAGGTCTTGATGTAGTCCTAATGAACAGGGCAAGCAACAATCAAACATATACACTGCAATAGCAGTCTGGGGCAAGCCAGGAGCCTTCCCCTTCCTCAGGGAACGGATGGTTTAATGTAAGTGGGAGGATGCATGAGTGTCATAAACAAATGGGAAAAAAAGCTACTGCAGGTCAGATGGTGGCATCCTATGTCTTTAGTCCCAGCACTTGGGAGGCAGAGGCAGATGGATCTCTGTGAGTTCGAGGCCAGACTGGTCTACAGGGCGAGTTCCAGGACAGCCAGAGATACATAGAGAAATCGTCTTGAAGAAAAAAATCCCCCCCCCCTTTTTTTAAGCCTGACTAGGTCTGGAGAGATGGCTCAGCACTCTGGTATCTGCTGCTCTTTTGGAAGACTGATTTCAGTTCCTAGCACCTCTGTTGGGCAGGTCACAGCTACCTATGACTCTAGTCCCAGGACATCCAGTGCCCTATGCTGGCCTCTGCAGGCGCCTGCACACAACACACATTATTATTATTACTTTACTTTTCTTTCTGTTTTTTTAAGACAGTTTCTCTGTGTCACTCTTAACTCCCTCTGTAGACCAAGCTGCTCTCCAACTCAGAGATCTGCTTGCCTTTGCCTCCTAAGTGCCTAACTTGATACATGCTTTTAATTTCAACCTTCAAGTGTTTAAGGCCTGTCTAGTCTATACACAGTGAGTTGAATTCCAAGACAGTCAAGGCTGCATAGTGAGACCCTTTACCCCCCCCCTAAAAAAAATTGGGGATCTGGCATTGCAACACATGCCTTTAACTCTAGCACTCCAGAGACAGAGGCAAGCAGGTCTGAGTTCCAGACCAATGTATTTCCAAGTGGCCTGGAAATAGTAAGACTATGTCTATAAATAGATGATTAGATAGATAGATAGATAGATAGATTGATAGATGATGGATGGATAGATGGATGATATACATACATATATAAAAACAGAATGGAGAGGACTCATTGGTTAAGAGCACTTGGTCTTGCAGAGGACCCAGGTTCAGTTCTCAGCACCCATATGGCCGCTTACAACCATCTATAACTCTAGTTCCAGTAGATCCAGGACACCCTCTTTTGGCTTACATGCACATGGTACACAGACATGCATTCAAGCAAAACACCCTTACACATAAATATTAAATCTTTAAAAATAAATAATAAGCCGGGTGGTGGTAGTGCATGCCTTTAATCCCAGCACTCAGGAGACAGAGCAAGCGGATCTCTGTGAGTTCAAGGCCAGCCTGGTCTACAAGAACTAGTTCCAGGATAGGCTCCAAAGCTATAGAGAAACCCTGTCTCAAAAAAACAATAAGTAGGGGCTGGAGAGATGGCTCAGCGGTTAAGAGCATTGCCTGCCCTTCCAAAGGTCCTGAGTTCAGTTCCCAGCAACCACATGGTGGCTCAAAATCATCTGTAATGAGGTCTGGTGCCCTCTTCTGGCTTTCAGGCATACACGCAGACAGAATATTGTATACATAATAAATAAATATAAAAATAAATACATAAATAAATAATAAAAATTAACAAGTTGAAATTCAAAAGGCTGGGGAAAGCAATGTGGTGGCACACTCCTGTAACCCAGAGCTTGCAAGGTATAGGCTGTATGGTATGTGCAAGGCTTAATGTAAGTCTTTGGCTGTTCTCAAGTGTAGTTGCCCTAGGGGATCTCTGACTCCAGAGTGACTGCATTGGGAAGTGTCTTAGCAAACACTGTAGATGCCTTTCAGGCTCAGGCGGGTGTCACATCCCCTGTCCCTACCCTGCCCTTAGGCTTGCCTCCCAGGCTCAGCAAACCTTCCCAGTCCCCAGGTAGGGCAGTAGAGCACCTTGATTTGGGATGGAGTAACTAAGGGTAGTGGGTAGGAGCAGCTGCTGGAGACCAGGTCTGCTACTGAAATCCCTTCCCCTACTTTATCACAACTGCAGCTGCTCAGTCAGCTCTGCCTATAGATCCACAGCCCTCCCAGGCCCCAGAAGGCTAATTCTCAGCTATGACAAGACTGCTGGACTCTGACCCCAGCTAGATGGCAGGGACTGCCCATCCCAGTGAACTTGTGTCTTTCATAGGTCCTGCTCTTGAACTCTGGAGGCCTGCCAGCTGATTTCCAGCCTCATTCATGCCCATATCTGCCTCCCTGAGGTTGATTCATCAACATTTCCATTACCCTATTGCTGCTGCCTTCATTGAGACCCACCACTCCACTCTTTTTTTTTTTTTTTCAAGACAAGGTTTCTCTATGTAACAGTCCTGGCTGTCCTGGAATTAACTCTTGTAGACCGGGCTGGCCTTGAACTGAGATCCACCTACCTCTGCCTCCCAAGTGCTGGGATTAAAGAAATGGGCCACCACCTCCCCGTAAGGTCTGAAATCTTACTCTCCCCTTTCTCACAAGATGCATGTTGTATCCATGATTTAAAAAAAAGAAATATTCACGCTTTTCATTCTAGCACTTGGGAGGCAGAGGCAGGCAGATCTCTGAGTTTGAGGCCAGCCTGGTCTACAGAGCACATTCCAGGACAGCCACAAAGCTACACAGAGAAGCCCTGTCTCAGAAAAATAAAAATCAAGAGCTGGAGAGATGGCTCAGAAGTTAAGAGCACCTGCTAATCTTGCGGAGGACATAAGGTCAGTTCCCAGAACCTATGTCATAGCTTACAACAATCTGTAGCTCATCCCAGGGAATCTGATGCTGCCTTCTGACATCCGCATACAACAGATATGCATGTGGCACACATACAAACATGTAGGCAAAACATAAATACATACATCTAAAAATAGAAATTTAACCTAAAAAGCAAAACAACAAAAACTATCCCAGCACTTGGGAGGCAGAAGCAGATGGATCTCTATGAATTTGAGGCCAGCCTAGACTGCATAATGAGGCCCTGTCTATTAAAACAAAAATCTTAAAAATTAATCAGCTGCTGACAACTGATTTTAAATAAATCTGAGTCTTCTTGAACTACTTGGAGAACCATGGGCTATACTGATCCTGTCCTCTTCAGAGTTAGCCCTCCATTTCAGCCTGTCTACTCCAACAGCATGCTGCCCCACCCCTCAGAAGTGCATCTGTTATAGCACACGCACTAACCCTCAAGACCTGGTCCCCACCCCTGCTCGCTGCCCTGACCCTAATGCTGACAGTGCAACTGGCTCATTAACCTCAGGAAAGTTACTTCCCATCTCTGGGCCTTAGTTTTCTGGGATTGGAAGGCGAATATTTTTGGCACACTGTGTGAGGTCATGTATGTGCAGGTACCTGTGTATTTAGAGAACAACCTTAGGGGCCGTCCACCTTGTTTTTTGAGGCAGTTTCTTACTAGCCTGGAACTCACTAATTAGGTTAGGCTGGCTAGCCAGCAAGCTTCAGGTGTCCACTTCACCAGAACTGGGAGTACAAGCGAGAGTCACCATGCATGACTTTTTTTTTTCTTTTTCTTAGATTTACTTGTGTGTGTTTTGCCTGCATGTATGTACGTGCACATTCATGCAGTGCCTGCAAACATTAGAAGAGGGCATCAGATCCCCTGGAACTGGAATTATGGGTGGTTGGCAACCACTTTGTGGGTGCTGGGAGCTAGGCCTGGGTCCTCTGGTGCCATTTCTCCAGCCCCATGCATGGCATTTGATATGGGTACCGGGGATGGCACTTGGGTCCTGGGGTTTCACAGCAAGTGCTAATGGACTGAGCCATTTTTCCCGGTTTTCCAGATAATAGTTTTCTTGACTGTAAAATGGTATGGTCGATATAGATTTGAGTCTCAGACCCAAGCTGATCTTGAATTCACAAAGTAGCCCAGGCTACGCTCAAACTAGCAATGTTCCTCCTGCCCCAGCTTCCCAAGGGCTGAGGTCATAGGTGTGTTGTCACCATGCCCACTGTTTTAAGACTTTTCTGTACACCAGAGATCAGATAAGCTTCTGCCTCTTGTGAGAGCATCCTAGCGCTACAGTAAGGACATAGTGTCTCCATGCTTTCCAAAGCCTCACAGGGAGAAACCAGGGGAGCATGTACGAAGGAGCCCCCTGAGACAAAAGGCAGGAAGGACTTCAAATTGTGCAGCCCAAGCTGGCTTCAGATTTAGGATGGCCCTCCTCCCTCAGCCTCCTAGGACTTGAATTACAGGCACCTAGGTATAAGCCACCATGCCCAGCTCATAATATGACTTTTGGCATATGTGCATATGTATGTATGACATATGTGCATGTATGTGTGGATGCTGGGCACTAGCACCTGTGAAGGTGTGTGTGACAGAGGCCAACCTCGGGCCTCAGTCCTAATCTTCCACCCTTATTGTAGACAGGGTGTCTTACTGTTCACTGCTGTGTACACCAGGAATGCTGACCTTGGGCTTCCAGGCAGTATCCTGTCTCTGCCTTCTATCTTGATGTAGAGCAATGAGATCACAAGCACATGCCCGCCCTGCTCCAGGGGATCCCGTGCCTCCAGCCTCCACGGGCGCCTCCACCCACATCCGCACCCATGCGAGAGCACACACGCATGCTCACACAAAAGTAAAATCTGTTTTGAAATAACAAGAACAATACAGGCGTGGTGACGGCGCTCACGAGGCAGAGGCAGGAGATCTCTCTAAGTTCAAGGCTAGAGAAACCCTGTCTCAAATAAATAAGTAAAGTAATTAATTAGTTACAAGAACAAAAACAAAAAAAAAAAGCAGACTTAGTTGTGCCTGCTATAGGCAGTGGCAGGAGGATCACTGCGGGTTCACGGCCAGCTTGGTCCAGCTCAGCCAAGGCTACATAGTGCGACCCTTAAAAGATGCCTATCTGACCTCCACTGCTTCAGCCAGCGTAGGTCCCCGAAGGCATGCCCCTGCCTCTCTCCCCAGTGTCTGTGCTCCTGTGCTTCCTCCCTGGGCCTCTTGCCTTCACAGTTTCTGCTGCTCCTCCAGGACAAACTCACTTTGCCCCCATAACTTGGGTTCCTGTCACCTTTTAGAAGGTGACCTCTGACTCATAATGCTCCTGATGCCCACACAGGAGGCTTGTGTGCCTTGGCGTGAGTGGTAATTGGGCTTCTCTGCCCTGTTCCAGGGGTGTGTAAGGCTGCCATGAAGGCGTGTGCACCAATTTGCTGCAGAGCACAGTCTGGAGTCGATTAGGTTTTCAAATGAAATGGACCGGCCCTCATCCTGCTGAACGTGGCCCACTCACCTCCTTCCTGCTGGGGTCCACACCCTCAGGGAGCTCCTCCACGGGCTTGTTCACCAGCTGCTCCAAGGGGAAGATGGGCAGGGGCCCAGAACTGAGGGTGGTGCTGGCAGTGAACACATCCATTTGGGGGTTCATGACATCCTAGGAAACAAGAAAAACACACGTCAGCAGCCGCGGGGCTGCATCCTACATTCTAGGGTACCTTCTTCAGGAGACCTCTCCTAGTCCTCCCCCTCCTCTGTTATACACACACACACACACACACACACACAGAGAGAGAGAGAGAGAGAGAGAGAGAGAGAGAGAGAGAGAGTAAAACACATTAAATACATCTCCCTGGGTTGGACCCAGAAGCTAGTAGAATAACCTAGCACCCTGCATCTGACCTAAACTAGTTGGTACAGGATGATTGTTCAATGACTAACCTTTCGTTGGCTTCCTCTGGAGTATGACATCTACTCTTCCCTGGACGTTTATGACCCTTTCTCTCATATCTGTTGTAAAACTGTCATTTATGAATTCACTCAGCCTTGACCTCACTTTTCTTTTTAAACACTGTGCTGTCCACCAGAAAGGGCTAATGAACCACCATAGTGTTCTGGACCTGTGACTGGAGGAGGTGGGAATGCCCTCGCTGATTACCCTCTTGAGTAATCAGAGGCTAAGTTGCTCTCAGGTTCTGATTGTGTGAGAGAGCTAGCTCTGCCTTGTTTCTTCTGTGGGCCTGTGACCTTCTCAAAGGAAGGCTTTGAGTTCACAGCCTTACCTCCCGAGCTTACAGGCTAGACACACCTCTGACAAGTGACAGAAAGACAGAAAGAGTCACAATCGTTCTGCCGGGAGAAGTGCCCCAAGGGTGATGGTGCCTACGGATGTCACTGTTTCCCCAGGTGGTACACCAGACTACCTCAGACTTTCATTTAAAGCATGCCGAATCTGGGGCTGAGGAGATGGCTCAATGGATAGAGACAGCACTTGCATTGCAAGGATGAGGACTGGCTTTTGGGTCCCTGGCACCCACATGAGAGACAGGCACGGTGGCAGCATACTTTGACAGCATACTCCAGAAGCAAAGACCAGGGATCCCAGAGGTAAGCCAGTTACTATACCAGCTGACCTGGAGAACTCGGACTTGCAAGAAGACCTTGCCTCAGTAATAAAGTGGAGAGCGATCGGGAAGACACTTGCATTGGCCTCTGACTTCCACACGCATGTGAACACACATGCACACACACATGTACACACATCTCATGCACATGAACGAACAAAACCTTGTTACCCCTGAGAGCCAACTCAAAATATTTTGGAATGGAGCCTCAAAATTTACTAATTTTGTTTCTGGGTGTTTTTGTTTATTTTGAGTCTGGGTATTTCTACATTCTCCTGTCTCAGCCTCCTTAGTTCTGCAACTATAGTCATACATCACTAGGCCAGGGGGAAAATCTGCATTTTAATATGCTGTCTCATGGGTGGTAAAAAAAAAAAATGGAGCCAGGTGGTGGTAGCACAAGCCTTTAGTCCCAGTACTCGAGGCCAGCCTATCTACAAGACCCAGTTCCAGGACAGCCAGAACTGTTACACAGAAACCCTGCCTTGAAAAAAAAAGTGCAGGCCATTTTACTAGGAAATGGAGAGAGACATGGGTGTCACACAAAGACAAGAAAAGGACTTTCACATAAAGAGGGAGGAGGTGGAGGTGGGGTGCAAGACACTGATATCGTCTCCCAACATTCCCAGCTCCCGTGGATATGACCACCTCCAGGCCGTCAGAGCTAGCCATGTCACCCCCAGACTCACATCAGCAATCTGGCTCCAGTCCCCAGAGTTTCCGAGCTCTGCCTTCAGGTCGTCATAGGACTTGGCGTTCTGCAAACAAAGCAAACGACAGATCAGACCCCATCTCAGCGGAGGAATTAAAGGTGGAAAAAAGGTTGACCTGAGATGAAGTGGGGAGAGGGGCAGGAAGTGGCTCAGAGTGAGTGATGGAGAGAAGACAGCCAAAGGGGCTAATATCGGGAAAGAGCAGGGCAAGGTGGGTGATCTGTCCCTGCTCGGCTGGACAAGACAATAGAGAAGAATATGTGCTTCCCTGACCCCTTATGGGGGTCAGGGAAATATGCAAATAGCCACAGGCATTATTGTCATCCTACCCACAAGGGATGGTCTCTGGGAAACTCAGGGCCTGGGGCACTTAAGGGGAGCCCCAACAGAGGACAAGGAAGGGAGAGACTGTTTTAGGACCCTCCTCCTTACACAAGACCCAGGGCCTAACACCCAGAATGACACATCAGGGCTCCCTAAGTGAATTATGTTTGCTGAGTGAATGAATGAGGTCGGGAAAAGCACAAACGGGAGGAGGGAAAGTCCACCTGGACTGTCGGGTTGGGGGTTGGCGTGACTGTGAGGCCAGGAATCCACGCCGCTGCCCTCAGATTTGCTTAACCTGAGGTTGGGGCGATGGCTAGGTGGGTAAAGGCGCTTGCCTCCCAAGCGTGAGGAATGGGATGCAGAGCCGCAGCTCTCGCAGAAAAAAGCTGGGTGGATGTAACAGCTTCTCTGTATGTAACCACAGCCTCTTAGCCTCCCAGAAAGTGGAGACGGGGGACCCCGAACTCCAGGGACTAGCTGACTAGCGAGACGAGATGAACCTCTGAGCTCTGGGTTCAAAAGGAAACCCCACCTCAGTAGACAAAGTAGAGAATGGTCAAGACACTTGATATGAACTTGATATCGGGCCTCCACGTACATGCATGCACATATACACATGTGCTTGTATGTCCAGGCACACATACCACACACACGTGGGGTCGGGAGAAGATGAAACAGCCCCTCAACAAGAGTCAAGAGAAAAGAAAAGGCAGGGAGGAGGGGGCAACAAACTTGAGGAAATTAAGCTCTCTGGCCCTAAATCAATCTGTTCTGGCAATTTAAAACATTCAGAGCCACAAGCCTTGGGTGGGGGCAGAGCAGGTACCCCTGGAGGCCTGACACACTGTCCCCCAGTAAGAGTACATATGCAACCCACTCTGCTTAGACTTTAGAGCCAGGGGAGTCTGTCTGTCCTCTAGAGTAGAGGGTCAGCCCTGAAGGGGTTCTTGTGAAGGGGCGTCCTTTGCTGTGTGTCGCATGTGGCTGATCCTGAGCACGACTGTGCCCAGTCAAGAACTGAGTCTTGAATTTTCTTCCATTCTAATCAGTTTCCCACAGCTTTGTGCAGCACAAAGGCAGGACACTATAACTTCGCTGTTGTGGGTTATTTGGTTTTGGTTTGTGTTTTGACAAATGAAATTTGCCTGGAGATCAGAGGACGGAGCCGCTAGTTAACAGAAGCCAGGCAGTGGTGGCACACGCCTTTCATCCCAGCATTTGGGAGGTCAAGACTGGATTTCAGTTTTTTTTTTGTTTTTTTTTGGACTGAAGAACAAAGAGGAAGAAAGCAATGGGTGGCGGCTTCTCTGTTCACTGACTATCCAGGTTTATTTTTTAATTTCTTTTTATGATTTATTTATCTTTATTTTATGTGCATTGGTGTGAAGATGTCAGATCCCCTGGAACTGGATTTTCAGACAGTTGTGAGCCACCATGTGGGTGCTGGGAATTGAACCCAGGTCCTCTGGAAGAGCAGTCAGTGCTCTTAACCACTGAGCCATTTCTCCAGTCCAACTGCCCAGGTTTTTCCCCCTTATCTGCCTCTGGGTTTTTATTGATTAAGATTAATTAACGCTTCACTCCACCGCCCCTCCCCCATGTGTGCATGCTGCCAGGGCTTTGTCCCTGCTGGGCAAGTGCTCTGTCACTAAACTCAACTCACAGCCTTTTTTGTTTTATTTTGTTTTGTTTTTGCTATGTCATTCAGACTGGTTTTGAACTTGAAACCCTCCTGTTTCCGTTTTCAGGTCCTAGGAACACAGGCATGCCTCATCTGCTGTGTCCACAAGCCTTAGGTATTTTGTTTTGCTGGTAGGTTGTTATTAAAACAGGGTCTCAACTAGCTCAGGCTATCTCCCTTCATGCCAGGTAGCCAAGGATAGTCCTAAACTTCTGACCCTCCAGCTTGTACCTCCCAAACATTGGGATCATAGGCTTATATCATCATGCCTGACTAGTATATGCCATGAAGTCACCTGGAGGGAGGGTAGGCTGAGCCATGAGGACTTGCTGGGATACTCACAGACCACTTGAAGGGATCCCAAGCCAGGAACCAGCCTGTGAAGGTGGGGGGCTCGTTTCCTTGCTTCACCACAATGATGGGGGTGTCAGGGTCTCGGTTTCCGGGGTGGGTCTTGAGGTATTCCTGTACAGTGGTGGCTGCGGCTTTCTTCTCTTCCTCGTTGGCATGTTTCCCTATCCAGAAGAAGACCTGTGGAGAGTGGTCCCTCAGTCGTTGGTGCGTGACGAGCAACATGGGCCTTCCTCATGTCCACAGGCTCTGCCTTGGCTCAGGAAGACCTGTCACTACTCAGCTAATGACCTTAAGCAAGGCCTGTCTGGGCCTTGACTTTACATCTGTGTTGTAAATGAGGTTGCCCAGACGCTCTGTAGATAGCCTGTGGCTATGTGGCACTCTGCTTCCCCAGAGCCCAAGATCCCTAGCAACCTTCCTTCTTCCTTCCATGGGAAATAAAGAAGTTGTGAGGTGATCAGGGCATGTCCCTTTCTTTTCCCCCTCTCCAGGAGGAAGAATCAGGGCCCCCAGACCTTGACGGTTCCCTACAATAAAGCCCCTGGGGCCTCTTGGTGCTGGGGACCAAGGTGGGGAAAGTTAGTTTTTAGACCTCACCCTACCTGGTCCCAGACATCCAGCAGGAACACATCATCCTCCTCCAGGTCATCCTGACTGAAGTCAAAGATCTCTGTGGCCATAAAGCGCCCGGTCTGGTTGGAGCATTCGAAGAGTCGAGGGTTGATGACTTGGGTTTCCTCCTGCAGCCTGTAGGGTGGGCAGATGCAGGTGCGGAGCAGAGACTTGAGGAACACAAGGACTGAAGGGTTAAAAGGGCTCTTACATGGAAAGCCTGGCTTCTCACCAAATCCCTGCTTTTGACTGACGAAAGGTCCCCTCTCCTTTCAACAGTAATTCAAGAGACAAATCCCCTGCTTTTCTGGACATGTCTTCCAGGAGCTGATCTACAGTCCTGGAGAAAGTTCTTCCTGCTATCCTCCCACTGTCTCTCTCCCAGTGTGACTACAGTGTAGGCCTTTTGCCTTTGAATATTCTTTAGAAAGTAACCTTTGGAAGAGGGCTTGTGCTGTTGTCCCACAGCATTCTGGGGCCTGTGTCAGTCTCTAGGGGCAAGGCCTGGGCTCTGGCACTTGCTTCCTCAAGTTCAAGCAGATACCTCTGCCTTCTTGAAAACCCACTTTCTAGAGAAAGGCCCATGCCCAGCCCTAAGCACTGTGCAGTGAGCAGTATGGACGTTTCTTATGTGTACACTGTCCTGAATTCATCCCGGGGAGCCTGGCACACAGCCCCTGTGTGAGCCTGCTAGGGGTCATTGGGGGTGAGAAGAGATGCCAGGACGTTACCGCTTGGTGTTGGCGTAGGGCGCCTTCCCGCCTAGGGCCATCCAGAAGTTGGCTGGCTCCTGCCCCTCCACAACCACTTGTTTCTCCGTCCGAGAGATAGTATCAGCGACCATCTTGGCCATCTCACGCTCATCACCGCTACATCCCTGGGGAAAGAGGGAGGTCGTTCTCGTGCGGGAGACCAACCTGGGTGCCACCCACCTCCTCGCTCTCCTGCTCCGTTCTGCCAGAGCTCCTGGGTCTGAGAGGGTCCTTCTGGATCAGGATGCCAAGCACACCCACGAGGAACAGTTCTTACTTTCCTCCATCCTTAACAGTCTAAAGAATGGCAGAAGGGAGCTGGAGAGATGGCTCAGAGGTTAAGAGCATTGCCTGCTCTTCCAAAGGTTCTGAGTTCAATTCCCAGCAACCACATGGTGGCTCACAACCATCTGTAATGAGGTCTGGTGCTCTCTTCTGGCCTTCAGGCATACAGACAGAATACAGTATACATAATAAATAAAATCAATATTTAAAAAAAAAAGAATGGCAGGGCGGATGAGGAAATGCACCTCATTCAGAGGAAGAGACACAACACAAGAGACAAGGCAGGGAGAGAGATGAGACAGGAGTGCTACCCATGAGAGAGGTGAGAAAGACTGATTCTGACAGAGAATCGGAGAGGCACACAGAGACCAGAGCTACACAAAGAAGACTCTCAGCCGACCGCAGCAGACCTGTGAGTGGGACCTGGTCACCTGACAGCCTCCCACCTTTGCCCTGATCTGCTCTGTGACTGAGGGGTTCCCAGGACGCCCTGCGTATCCTGGTGTCATGGACAGGAGAAGGAGGCCTGTGGTCCCTCACGCACCTTCCCACACCACAGGTAGCAGCAGGATGGAGTCTTGAGTATGAAGACATCATTGGAGTTGAGTGAGGTGGCCCGGGCTGTAACCTCAAAAGCCTTGGTGTTATTGGCACTGGTTCCCCGGACCTGGAACAGCCTTGTGGAGGGCACAGGCTCCGTGTTGTTCTCTCGGGAAGTGCCTCCCTGCGGGCGTAAGGGGAAGGCAGGAAGACAGGGACAAGGCTGCAGGTGACATGTGAGCACAAAGAACATCCAGAGAGGGCTGAGGGCGAGGGGCCAGCCCCGACACAGCTTTGGTCTTTACACTCCGCTGTTCCCAAGGTTTCAGTGGCTCTCCACTGCATTTGTGTCAAATGCAGGTCCTCTGCTGGCCCTTAGAAGCCCATGAAAATTTGACATGAAGACGAACTGCCTTTGTGTTCTTTCTCTCCTTCCATAAATCCCCAGGGTGGAGGCCCCCGGCCTTACTGTGCCCCTGTGCAGTAAGACCTCATTCTAGCTCCATAGAGCTCTTGAGCTTCCCCCTAAAATGCCTACAAGTCCTCTGTATTCTTTCCCTCCTTGAATTCTTTGCTTGCTCCCCGCTTACTACATCTCTGCACCTCTGCCTCTTGTTGAAGTCAACTTCTGTAGCTGGCATTTAACTACACATTGCTTTGAGCTGGGAGCTGACGGCTTAGAAGAGAGCCACACGGTCGTCCCCTCCCAACAAATGTTCTCTGTCAAGTCTCGCTTCACTTCCTGAGTTGCAAAGGACTTTGTGTCTACAAGTTTCACCATAAACAGATTATTGCTTAAACAGCTGCAGGAGATGCCTGGATCATTTTGTTGGGCAGGAACAGCAAATATAGCCCCCTCCCCCCCCAAAAAAAAACCCTTTTTCATGCAGCAAAGATCGAGAAGGGGAAATAACATTTGTACACAGTGCGGGTTTTCCCTACAGCTCTAAAGAAAGCTTGCTGGTTTCTGTCACCAAGTTAATACATGACAAGGGACCTCTCCTATAAGGAGCAAGCTTCTCCCCAGCCTCATGCCCACTGGACATCCCTTTCCCCATCTCCTTGATGTCTGCTGTCAGTTCAGTAGCTTCACCTGGTAAACCACCATGCGCCCCTTGAAGATGGACATGAGGTGAGGTGGCTCCTTGCCCATTGTGACTCGGATCTGCACTGGCTCGTCGTTGTACTTCTGGTCCAGGATGACAGCTTGATACGCCGAGGCTGCAATTTCGTCCTGGCTGGCCTGGCTGCCCTGGGAATAAGCAAGGAGAAGGGAGAGGGTCCCGAGTTTGACCTCCGCTACATTCCAACCCAGTTTTAAGGATATCAAGAGTGGTGTGTGTGTGTGTGTGTGTGTGTGTGTGTGTGTGTGTGTGTGTGTGTTTACATGGATGGGCATGGGCTGGCTATGGTGGCACACAACTTTAATCCCAGCACTCAAGAGGCAAGGGCAGGTGGATCTCTGTGAGTTCAAAGCCAGAATGATCCATATAGCAAGTTCCAGGACAGCTAGAGTCAAACAATAGGCCCTTTTGACTTTTGAGAATAGAGGGAGAGAAAGAGAGAGAGAGCTACACATGCCATGGTGCAAACCTAGAAGTCAAAGACTTGAAGGAGTCATTCTCTCCTCCCACTGTGTATGTATGTATGTATGTATGTATGTATGTATGTATGTATGCATGTATGCATGTATGTATGTATGTGGGTTCTAGGGATGGAACTCACAACGTCAGACTTGGCAGCAAACTCCTTTACCCACTGAGTCCTCTCTCTGACCACCCACTTTTTTTTATGTTTTTTCTTTTGAGACGGAGTCTTACTGTTTATCCCTGGATGGCTGGCCCTTGCTATGTCCAGCAGTCAAGTATGGGATTCATAGAGATCTACCTGCCACTGCATCATGTGCGTTCGGACTAACAATGTGTACCACTGCACTAGGCCTCACCCGTTTTTGGTTTGTTTTTCACTACAGGGTTATTCTGTGTAAGGGTCCTTGATCCCCTGGAACTTGCTTCCGAGGTAGACCAAGCTGACCTTGACTTTACAGAGATCCGCCTGCCTCTGACTCCCAAGTGCTGAGATTAAAGGTGTGCACTACCACTGCCTGTCCCCCCCCCTTTTTTTTTTAGGCTGGGTCTTATGTATCCCAGGCTGGCCTAGAATGTGCTTTATAGACTAGGATGGCCTTGAGCTCCTGATCTTCCTCCCTCCACCTCCTGAGTGCTGAGATTATAAGTATTTGCTACCACGCCAGGTTAGATACAAGGCTGGGGACTGAACCTAGGCTTTGTGTATGTTAGGCAAGCACTCCACCAACGGAGCTACATCCCCAAATATGGCCTGACTGGACCCATGGCCTCCCCATCAAGCCTACACTGAACACAACCCAAGCCTAACCCCAATAGACTGTGTTTTTTTCTGACCCTAGCCCCAGCTCTAATCCTTTCTCAGTCTAGTCCCGACTCACCTCAGACCCATGGCTGACCCCAAACATGTTCTACATGTTCTATTCTTCCCACTCCATCCTTAGAAAAATATCACACAACTCACTCCCTGCACTCAGGCGTCTGGCACAGAGTCCCCATGCAGTGGGTGACAAGAATTAGAATCGACACTCTCTGAACCAAAAGGAAAGAGCTCTGAATGGGGAGACCCAATGGAAACAATCTTAGAGCTAAAGCCACCCGAGAATGGGAAAAGTTGCCTCTGGAGAAAGTGAGTTTCTCACCTCCAGGGGTATTCAACACATGGGTGATAGCAGGGATTGGGGAGACTGAGCAGCTGTGCTGCAGGTGAGCTGGGGAGACTGAGCAGCTCTGCTACAGGTGGGATGGGAGACTGAGCAGCTGTGCTGCAGGTGTGCTGGGGAGACTGAGCAGCTGTGCTGCAGGTGGAATGGGGAGACTGAGCAGCTGTGCTGCAGGTGTGCTGGGGAGACTGAGCAGTTGTGCTGCAGGTGGGCTGGGAGACAGCAGCTGAGCTGCAGGTGGGATGGGGCTGCTGAACAGCTGTGTTGCAGATGAGATGGGCTGAGGAGACTGAGCAACTGTGCTGCCAGTGGGGCGGGCAGGGCCTCACCTGCCAGATATACAACAAGTAGTGTTCCTTCTCGCCTATGAGGTAGGTGTAGAGCAGCAGGTAGCAGTCGCCACCATAGAAATGGCCCAGCCACTTGGAATCCACAGGCACCAGCTCTAAGTTCTCGATGCGCCACACCTGGGAGCAGAATCAGACCTGTATGAGGTCCAGCCTGGGTTACCCCTTTCCCACCAGCCTATCCTCCTCCCCTCACTCACCTGCACCTCCCCACTCCCATCGTCCACCATCTTCTGCTGGGCAGCCACTTGAGGCTGTACATGCATGGACGTAGCATCAAACTTCACCTGTTCCACCTTGGCTGGAGAGATGAGGACACAAACTGTCACGAGGTGAGGTCCCCACACCCTCTCTACAGTCCTGAGTGCTGGGATTTGTAGACCAATACGATAGACGAAGAAACTAAAGCCAGACAGATTTAACTACCTATCTAAAGTCACACAAACGGAGAGCGGGGCAGCTAAGTGACCGCTCCATGCCCCTAAGGCACTGACCTTGACCTAATCAGGGAAGCAGGATCAGGAAGCAGGCTCAAGAGCAGAGCTCTGTTTGGTCTGACTCCCTGGTAGCTTTCAGACTTCAAGCACCGCCTTACCCTCACCCCCACCCCCCAGCTTGTCAGGGAAACTACGGTGATGGAGGCTACAAGCCGTCCTTTCCTTTGGCTTCCTCCCCCAATGTCTCAGCAAATACAGTCTGGTGAGAAGGGTTTGGTTCCCAGTGAAGCTCAACCCCGTTCCTCGGCAAGTTATGTTAGCTCCCTTTCTGGTGGTAGCTCTTGAGCTTCTTTAGTCCCCGGGGCTCTCGGTATCCCCCAGGGAGCTGAGGGGGCGTGGCTTCTCACCCACGGAGCCCACTGTGTATGTTTTGCCCAGGCCTGTGGTCTGATTGGGCACGGTCCACTTCTGGAAGAGCTGCTGAAAGATGGCTGACTCCGCCCCGTCGTTCTGCACCTCCACCTGGGTGCTCGGTGGGTACTGCTTGGCTTTGATGAAGTTCTGGGAAAATAAAGGGGTCGTTGGAGGCTAGCGCCTCCTGTCCGTAGTCTCCACAACCCCAAGCAAGCCAAAGCCAGATCCACCTGGCCCCAACCCTGAACGTGCCCAGCCCCGACCCCAATGCTGACCCCAAAGTTAACCCTACTAACCTACTCCAATCAAGGCTACACCTGATAGTGTCTCAAACTCTAACCTCAGCCCTGAATCTAATATTGACCCCACACCTAACTCTGATCCCAACAGATCTGACCCCTAGCTTAATTATATCTCCTCAATTCTAATTCGAGCACCCTGGCCCCATGCCCACTCAACCCTTTTTGGAGAAAGGCTAGCCATTCCCTTCTTGAAGCCAAGCTCTTGCATGGGGCATGACACTCAATACTCAGGGAGGCCCAGGATTGGCTGGTGGTCGTCTTGTTCATACGCTGAGGACCAGGACGCTGGTGACCTTATGGTCCTCAGCCCTCAACAACTGTGTCCATCCATCCCCACTCCCAGTCCTGCCCTCCCCAAATCTTCCTTGGACTCTGCCTGGTGTTATGGCCTGTCTAAGTCCTTCTCTTCTTCCTTTGCTGCTGCTAGACCAGGAATTCTCAACCTGTGGATTACAACCCTTTTGGGGTTGCGGAGCAGATATCCTACATATCAAATATGTATATTCTGATTCATAACAGTAGCAAAACTACAGTTATGATGTGGCGATGGAATAAATTTTATGCTCGGGGGTCAGCACAACATGAGGAACTGTACTAAAGAGTCACAGTATTAGGAAATTTGAGAACCACTGGGCCAGACCCTTTCCTTACCAGGGCCTGGTTCATGGCCCCGCTCCTCTCCTGCTCATTGGCTTTTTTCCCCTTCCACACGAAGATCTTCAGACCTCCCTGGTCCAGGATATAACAGTCCTAGAGTCAGTAGAGAAAAAACTAAATGAGCCTGTGGTGTTGGGAGAGGAAGGAGGGCTAGGTTTCCCCCCTATATCTGCCTTAGCACTTTATAGGTGTCCCTTGCTTGGGGTCCTCCAGACCCTTCTCACCTCATGGTTGAGCAAGTCCTGTGTGAGCGGCCGAGTAGCAACTTCCCTAACCACCAGTTTTCCTTCCGAGTCAGACACACTGCAAGACAAAGCAAGGCATGCATAGGAGGTGCCACAGTCAGAACACCCTACCCAGGAAGACCTGGCACCCAGGAAGGCCTGGTACCCAGGAAGGCCCACACCCAGGAAGGCCCCGGTCCAGAACTCACTGGTACAGCTTGAGTGAGGCCTTAACCGCCGGATCCACCACTGTGTCAGGAATTGCTGCCTTCAGTTCCTTGCGCTGGCCCAGCACGTGGTTCATAATTGCCATCAGCTCCGGGGTGTCCCCTTCCTTCTCCCCTTCCACCACACCCACGTAGGTGCGTCCACCCCGTTCCTGGTCTCGGATCTCTTTGGCCAAGGTCATGCCCTGCAGGAAGGTCACGGATGACCTTTGAAGGTCAGCAGCAGCAGACAGGGCAGTACTGTTCACCACCCTGGACTCTGCAGGGCAAACCCCACTCCACCTTGCAGATTTACAAAGGGTGGAGTCACGGCTTGTTAGGTGTGTGAGGAGACAGTAGGAAGCCCTGAGAAAGTGGATTTCCTCAAAGATGGACAAGGCTTCTTGGGGGAGCGGGACAGGGAAGCTAGACCTTTAGTTCTGACATTGTTGGGAATCTGTGATTTCCTTTCATGGTTTTGTACAAAAGCTGACCCTCAAAGATGTTAATACTATATTCAGTCTACCCAAAACACCCACGCTCACAGTACACACGCAAATTCACACATACACAGCTCAGTTTCATGAAAGTTTACACAAGCATGCATATACATACATAGGCCCCCGGGTGCCTGCACACTGTAGCGTGCTGTTCTTTAGCTCAAAGCCCCTCCTTTCATGGGTGGCTCTGGAGTTCCTTGGCCCTTGGGAATAGTCAGTCTCATGCTTCTGTCTCCAGCTTAGCTCTCGGCTCTCCTCCTTAAGACAGCCCCTCTTCAGATAGCCAAAAGGGCCCTCTGTGTCTCCCTGAGATCTTCCCCATCTCAGGACCAGGCCCTCCACAGTCCCTACTGCTCTCAAGCACAAGGCTTTGGGTCCTCATCCCGTACACAGTGAAGTCCAGACTCCAGCTGGTCCCCTCCCCAGCCCATTTCTACTCAGAAATCAGATAAGCTCTATTAGCTGGATGTCCCAACCAAAATACTTAACATTTTTTTCCCAGCCTGCTGACCACACATCCTGTCTGTGAGACCTGCTGGCAGCTCATCATATTCCTACTGGCCTGAAGGGCTCCCTACCGACCCACCTTCTTGCCCAGGGCCTTTGCCAAGGCTCCATCTAGTCCTCAAAGCTTCCCTAGTATTATTCCTGCTGCAGTGATTCCTCTGGTTCCCCTTTTCCATTCTGGTTTCTTGACAGGATGGCCGGTTTCCGGGCAGAGCAAGGCCAAGGCTCTGCCCACTTCATCCATCCCTGAATACCCAAGGCTGAACATGGGGTCTGCCATACCCCAGAGACCTATTCCACCTTAAGGATTAGTATAATAATTATAATTATACTGGCCTGCCCCGTCACCTGGGTACCCTGCCCTGTCCCTTTAAGAGACACGCTCTGCCCGCTCCCAATCTCCCTCTTCCTTCTGAAGCAAGGTGATCTTGCCTCTCTTCCTTTCTCTCTCTGTACTTCTTCTGAAGAGGCAGCAGCCCCCTACCTCCCTCCTCCCCTCTTTCCTCTCTCTCTCTCTCTCTCTCTCTCTCTCTCTCTCTCAATATCTCTCTCTCCTACATACCTCCTGCCTTCCCATATCCTCCCAATATCCACTAAATAAATTCTCCGTACCCAAGCTCTCTCCACATGGCATATCTGTCTGTCTCTCACCTGCTGTGGGACCTGATGGGGTCACCTGTGCCGTAGATCATAAGTTACTCATTAGCCTAACACAGTCACACAGCAGCATAGCCTCTCTGTCTACTTTCACGGGGGCGGGGGGTGGGGAGGACAGTGCTGCCGAGGCTGCTAAAGCATGTGAGGTCTGCTGCATTACAGAGATGAGGTGCCCTGTCAGGGTTACCCGAAGTCTCTCCATGCGGTTGCTCTCCGGCCCATTCCACTGGATGATGAGTTTCCCGAGGTCCAGCAGGAAGACATCTCCTCTGTTGAAGCTCTTCCAGGACATCTCCACCTAAAGGGCACAGGGAGGTCCAGCGCCCACTGAGAGCCTTTTACCTCTGGCCACCCTCATTTCACTCAGCCCTGCTCAGTTGCCAGCCAGTGTCCTGGCTGGGCCTGCCCACCTCTCCAGCCAGCACATTCCTCTTGCCCTTGACGTGCAATAGTCGCTGAACGTTGCTGGAATTCGTTTCCACGTGCTTCATGCCAGAAGCCACTCCCCCTTTCTGGATCCTGAGAGAGAAAGAAAGGAAAGCTGACTCAAGGGTATTGAGTCAGGAGATATGCCAAGGTCCTGAGCTGCCTGCGCCCCTCTGAGTCTCCGACTGGGACAGGCTCAGGCAAAGGAAATACTTAAGGTTCAAACATCAAAGTTACACTCGTCATCAGTGTCCTGCAAATGCTTGGTTAGCCTGGAGCATGCACCTGACCCTGCAATGTAGGCCTTCCTGCCCCTTGCCTTAGCTCCCCGCCCTGCAGAAGGGTCTGCAATGATAATCAATCGTGGTGAGATCTGGAGAGAAGAAAACGGGAATAAGGCCAGGGCGCCAGACACAGGGCGCTGAGGAGGAAGAAGGGAGAGAGGCCACTCGAATGCCCAGAGGCTATCGAGCTTTGGCATCCTACAAGGAAAAGACAACACAGCTCTGGAGAAGCAGATGTTTCCATGAGGAAAGGCAGCCAGACAGAACTTCAGACTTTTCTAGAGTTGTTAGCGAAAGGCCTGTTTAGAGAAGAGAAAGCAGCCACCTGTGAGTTGGCCTGAGAGAGTGGGGTTTGATGTGATAGCCTGAGGGGTGGGGTTTGAGGGGGGGTGCTCAGGCAATGAGCAATCCACCACACCTAGACAGGAACGAAGACAGAATTCATCGGCCCTAGTCATGGGATCTTAGAAGAGCCCAAGGGATAAATCAAGTGAAAGCAGACTCAGAGGGACAGGGCCTGGGTCAGGGCAACAGCAGAAATAAGGGTGAGGAGTAGAAAGGTGGAGAAAAATCAGCAAAGGCCGCAGGAGCTTCCCACAACCTCCAGAGCTTCATCCAGGCTTTCTTCCTAGCCCAGGTCACCTCCCATTGCCCAGAGTCTCAGTGTCCCGTCTCTTCAGCCCAGCCCTCCATGTCCTAATCCCCACCTCAGTGACCAATCTTGGCGTCCTCCCCAGCCCCACCACACCCCTCCCTACACAAGGCCTTGCTTGAAGTAGCTTCGGAAAGTCTCGCTCTCGTTGCCTTGAACCTCACGGTGCTGGACAGCCCGGCCCTTGAGGTAGTCATCCATCTGTGTCGTGTAGATGGCAGCTGCCCCCTGCTCATCCTGGGATGAATTCTGGCCGATCCAGTAGTGGATATCGTAGGTCAAGGTGCTGCTGGTCTTGTGGATCTGGGGGAGCGGGCATCTGGATAGTGAGACCTGGGGTCCCACAGCTCCCTCTCCCATTCTGCATGCATGGTCTCCCACGTACTTAGACCCAAGGAGGCCTCTGGCCTGTTGTCAGAAGCCCTGAGTTGTGGCCCAGCTCAGTCACTGACTCTACTGGTAGAAAACACGACGTGGCCCTCCCTTCTCTGGATCTTGTTCTCATCTTGAAAATAACTCACGTGGATTGATGGGTGTGGGCTATCAGAGACCAGTAAGATGACTATAAGGGCAAACAAATGCATTGTCCCTCATGGTCTGTGAGGGACAGGATCCTACGGGAACTCTATACATGGTATGTGATGTTTGCATGGGATCTGCAAAATCCTCTTATGCTTAAAAATTGTGTGTGTGTGTGTGTGTGCACGCACACACATGTGCATATTCACATAGGTGTGTTTAAGCACAGTTATAGGCATGCTCGGAGTGGGGGTAGAGGTCAGAGGACAACCTTTGGGAGTTGGTTCTCTCCTACTGCACTGAGAGGTTTTGAACTCAGGAGGTCAGACACCTATCCTTGCTGAACCATCTCCCTGGCTGGAGAATCAGCTTTGTTGCCATTGTTTTGTTGTTGTTGTTGTTGTTGTTGTTGTTGATACAGGGTTTCACGTAGCCCACACTGGGCAGGAATATTCTGGACTGAAGGATGCCCTCCCATGATTTCTCCTTCTACCTCAGGGTTGCTGGGATTACTGGCCTGTATGCCAAGGCACCTATTGTGCAGGGGTAGGGATCAAACTCAGGTCCCCCTGGATGATAGGTCGGTACTCTACCATTGAGCTACACCCCAGGCATCTCTTAGACCTTACATCATCTCTAGACAAGTCCTAATTCCTAAACCCAGGCAGGTGGCGGTCAGAATGGTTGCCACACTGTACTGTGTATGAAATAGTGACGAGAAAAATATCTATGTAATCATTCACTACATATTCCATTAGATTGATGTGTATGTGGATTTGCGCACATCAGATTCCCCTGGAGGTGGAGTTAAAAGCAGTTGTAGCCAACCTACATAGGTGCTGTGCAGGGAACCAAACTCAGCTTCTCTGCAAGAGCAGCATCCACTCTTAACTGAGCTGCCATCTCACCAGGCCCTCGCATGCAACTTTTCTAAATATCTTTGATCCATAGTTAGGTGGAATCCATAGATATCCCGTGGACACAAATACCTTCTGCGAACGTCGTGATTGTGTAAATACACCATAGCTGTTTTTGATCTGTGACATGTGGCTCCGCTTTTCACTTACAGTAAGAATGTGGTGAATTGTTAAATATGTATCTTCAAAGTTTAGAAGCAGAGCAAGCAAGAGAACTCTGTGGGTCAAGGCACTTGCAACCAGGCTCGGCAACCTGAGTTTGATCCCTGGGACCCACGTGACAGAAAAAGGCACTGACTCCTGCGAATCATCCTGCGGCAGCATGTGCATCTCGCCTGGCACGTGTGCAGCCGCCCTATGCATGCACACATACACGCACAGATTCACAAAATAAATAAATGCGTAAGGCAATGTAATTTTGAAAAACTTTAAAAATCAGAAGCAACTCAATATAAGAAAAGCACAAATGTTCTTAGTCGTGCTGGTGGTGCCAGGGAGTGCGGACATCATGAAGGGCTGTGAAGACGCCTGTGGGTTTAGAGAGGTGGGGCCAGGGCCACTGAAACGGCTCAGCAGGTGCCTGCCGCTGTAGCTGATGATTTGAGGTCAGTCTCTGGGACCCACATAGTAGAAGCAGAGAACTGACTCCCGCAAGGTGTCCTCTGAAATTCACATCCTCTCCATGGCATTGCATAAACACACACACGCCAAAAAATACAATAACAATAAAGGGTGGACTAACTCAGAAGGTCCCCCAAGGCTCAATGAGTTCATGGCTCCGAGCTAGAGGAGGGCTCTACAAACCATCTCTGAGCCCTCTGGAGCCCCACAGTTGGGCACCTGTTTACTCTTGTAAACAATGGTTTGATGTGGGAAGTCCTTCTCTATATGTGTTGCTCGGATTGGTTAATGAATAAAGCCGCTTTGGTCTATGGCAGGGCAGAATATAGCCAGGCTGGAAGAGATATAGAAACAGAGTAGGTGGAGTCAGAGAGATGCCAAGCAGCTGCTGAAGGAGGCAGCTGCCATGTAGCTACCCAAGAAGCAAGACTAACAAACCACGAGCCTTGTGGTAAAATATAAAATAATAAAAATAAAATTTAAGATGTAAGACCTAGATAGAAATATGCCTAAGACAGCGGCCAAACAATGTTGTAATTAATACAGTTTCTGTGTGATTACTTGGGTCTGGGTGGCCGGGAACGAACAAGCAGTCTCCACTTAAACTGGTTGCTGAAGCCAGACCACCCCTCAGCACAGCCCCCAGCCTCTAGTTTCTGCCCTGATACCCAGTAGACTTTGCTCTCTGCTCAGCCCCCTCTGGCCTGACCCACTTACAGCCAGGACTACATAGCAGTCACCATCGAAGAAGCTTCCAAAGGTGCTGGAAGAAACAGGTACCATCTGCATAGCCTGGAGAGAGAAAGGTCACAATGGACGTGGTGGCAAACGTGTAGTCCCGCCTACCCAGGAGACCAAAGCTACAGGACTGCCTGAGTCTAGTCCTTCTAGGCTGTTGTGTGTTGTGCCAATCATGTGGCTGCACTAAGTTTGGGTTCAATACAGTGGCCTCCAAAGAACAGGACACCATCACCCAAGGAGGAGTGATCTGATCCAGGATAGAAAGAGGTCATAGGTGCTACCAGAACCACCAGGTAAGGAAGCTGACTAGATGTGTAGGAGGATGGGAGTTGAGAATGCAGGGTCTAACAAGGTTTGGGTGTTGCTTAGTTATAGAGTCCTTACTAGGTTTGACCCTCGGTTCCGACTTCAGCACCACAAGATACCCCAAATCAAAAAGATCAGTGCCCAGAAATGAAAGGTGGGGGAAATCTTGGTAAGCTTTAGGACAGTGGAAGACCCTGTCTGGGAAAGGGACAAGGGGAGAAAGCAGAACAGAGACGTATGGGGCTAATGGGGACAAGGAAGTGGAAGAAGGAGAAGGCAGATGAGGAAGAGATGGAGAAAAGAGGAGGGGGTGGCAGGGGTGGCACCAGCAGCTCCCTGCAGTGTGCAGGACCTGGCTGGAGGAGACTGGGCAATGCCAGCCTTCTTCCACCCTCCGGAATCCCTGAACTCCCTTCCAGACAAGACTCACCTCGATCCTCCATATCTGTATTCCCGGAGTGGTGATGTTGAGAGAACTTTTGACTTGAGAAGTCAATTTGGTCATGGTGGGTGAGCCTAGAGGAGAAGGCATGTGAAAGCCACGGCCATCGAGTTAGGAGTACCCCAGTCTCAGGTAGAGGTCAAAGACTTGATGACTAGAGGAAGGGAAGCTGGCTCCCCACTAGGGGTCTTAATCCCTAGAACCTAGCCTCCAGCTTTCCCACCCAGCTTTGATGAAGCCCTGCTCTTATCCAAATACCTACATTAGCTCCCTTAGTATAAGTTACATAACCCAGCACTTGAAAGACACCCCTCTCTCCATGCTTTTGAGACAAGGTCTTGCTATGTAGCCCAGGCTGCCCTGTGAGCCACCACACCCACTTTAAGCCTCTTCTGTAGCTTCAATCTCCCTGTTCTGTAGGATTTTTGAGACGAGGTCTCCTGTAGCCCAGGCTGGCCTTGAACTCACTATTTCAGATTGCAGATGTGCAACACTAAGCCCAATTTTTTTTTTAAGCATAGAAAAATCAAACCAAACAAAACACAAGAAGGGCCAGGGAGATTGTTCAGTTGATAAAGTGCTTGTCCTATCCGCAGGACTCATGTGAAGAGCTGAGTTCAATCCCTGGAATCCACATGGTATAAGGAGAAAACTTCAACAAATGGCCCTCTGACCTACGCATGTGCACTATGGTATGCGTGCACCCCCACCCCCATTCACACTCACACACACACACACACCAAATATAATATTTAAAGATTCTAAAAATGGGTGCTACCTGAGTTTGCTCCCTGGCCTCCACACACAGGTACTCACATGTGTACACACAAACACACGTGCACACACGCACACACACACACACACACACACACAAAGGAAAAAGAAAGAAAAGAAAATTGTTCTTGAAGTTCACAGCGGCTCTATTCACAAGCAGACCCTGTCTCAAAAAGAGAGGGGGTGTGAGGGAGAGCGGTGGTGGTAGTAGTGGGGGAGGGACCACAAATGTCCATCAGTAAACGAAACAGGAAGTAGTGTATCCATACGAAGGAACACTATGAAGCTGTAAGACGAAGTCCAGTAATGACACACGCCCCCAACGCAAACTGTGCTAAGAGAAAGTCGCCAGTCGTAAAAGCATACATAATAAATCATTCCATTTACATGACCTAGTCATGCATGCAAATCTGTAGGGGCAGAGGCTGTGGTTACTAGGTTTGGGCAGGAGGAACAGGGCATTAGTGGGCACAGAAAGTGCTGGAACTGGAGAGTGGAGAGCGCTGCATAGCGTTGGGAATGTGTTAAATATCCCAGAATCGCCTGGATAAAGTGGGGACTGGGGCTGTAGCTCTCTGGCAGAGAGCTTGTTAAGCATGCCCTGGCCTGGAGTCCCACCCCCAGCTCCTAAATAAAGAATAGAATAAAATGAGTGGGGTGTTGATGAACACCTGTAATCCCAGCACTGGGGTGAAGGTAATTTAGAGTCAAACTAGCCTGGGCTATTCCATACATAGATGGAAGACAGATGGATGGATGGATGGGTGAATGGATGGATGACATCTTCTGAGTAATTTACCATAATAATAGAGGAGCGCATGCCTGTCCCTCACCAGGCCCCACCAACATCCTCCAATCACTGCAATTCTTGCCCAGAACATTTTAAGCTTTATTTATTTTATTTTATGTATATGACCATTTTGCCTATAGACATATGCATATCCCCTGGAACTGGAGTTGCAGACAGTTATGAGCTGCCATGCAACACTGAGAATTAAACCTGGGTCCTCTAGAGAAGCAGCCAGTGCTCTTAAGCACTGAGTCATCTCTCTGGTCTCCCAGAATATCTTTTGTTTGCTTGTTTTGTTTGTTTGTTTGTTTGGGGGGAAACGGTCTCTCTGTATAGCCCTGGATGTCTTAGACCTCACTCTGTAGTCCAGGCTGAAGTTGAACTCAGAGATCTGCCTCCCTCTGTCTCCCAAGAGTTTGGGATTAAAGGCGTGCACCACCATGCCCAACTGTCGCCTAGAAGTTCCTGCAAGGGCAGAGACCATTTCTGTCTGCTCAGTACTAAATCCCCAGCATTAAATTGGGTGTGGTGTAATCCTAGTACTCAGGCGGAGACAGGAAAAGCCGGAGCTAAAGGTCATCCTTGGCTACACAGCAAGTTTGAGGCCAGCTTGGGCTACATAAGACACTTTCCAACAATAATTAGGTGCTAGGAAATGGTTCAAATGGAATGACAGAAACAACAACCAAAATTTATTCTCTGACTGCCGCATGTGTGCTGTGGCGTGCACATGCCTATACACATACGCAATCAAGCAATCAGTCAATGTGATTTTAAAAAATAAATTAAGTCTCCAGCATTTAGTACAAGACCAATTCTCTGTTAGATGCATGAATGAGTGAGGAAAAGCAGGGAAAGAGTAAGGAGAAAGAGAGGGTTTAGATGGATGGATGGGTGGGTGACTGGATGGGTGGATGGGTGAGCAGGTGGGTGGGTGGATGGGTGAGTGGGTGGGTGGATGGGTGAGTGGGTG